GGGCCGCCCGGCTCCTCCTCTGACTCCGCCCCGGCCCCGCCCAGCCCCCTAGCCCGGCCCCCTGGCCCCCCTCGTTCCTACCCTGTCCTGCTCTCCTGGAGCTCTGGCCACTGACGGCATCGCCTCTTATGGGCAAGAGTGAGCCATTCCTGCATCTCATCTTCTCCGCAACCATCTGATCTCCAAGCAACCAGGGAACAGGGACAACCTCATTCGTTCATTCGCTCATTCATTCACTCAGTCTCTCATTCGTTGTTTTCATGCTTCACCTTTCCTGCCTGCCTCAGCTTTTCTCAGGGCCAGTGTCCTGTAGGGCTCTGGAAGTTGGGCTCCGGGATCCCTGGAACACAGGCACAGTCTCTGCCCTCGTCAGTGTGAGTGGGAGGCCACACAACCGCGACTATTGCCCATGCTGCGGTAACTTAGGGCAGGGCGCCCTGGGAGTCCACAGTGGGAGGAGGGACTCACCTGGAGAGTCAAAAAGGCTTCCTGGTGGAGGAATCACGCGAGCAGGTAGTACTGAAGGGGGAATCTGGAACAGAGACCCCTCAGCATTGGCTTCCCTACAGGCAGGAGAGAGACCTCTCCAGGCCAGAAGCTGGAAAGCACAGAGGTGAGCCAGCCATTAGCCTCCAGCAGTGCTCAGGTCAGAGATAATCAGTGGAAAGTGGGAGTCAGGGCAGCCGGAGAAAGGGCAAGAAAACTTGAATCTGGACATGTAGGGGCGGTCTAGAAAAGGTCAACGTGCTTGAGGAGGCAGCTTCTGGAGGAGGGAGAAACTGGGGCCCCGGGAGGTTGGGTATGTGGTGGGACAAGAGTTAGGCCTGTCTGGAGATGGCTCGGGGTGTGGTCCACTGGCTGGAAGTCCCACGGAAGAAGATGTGGACTCCACAGCAGGAATATCTCAAAAGTTTGAGCTGGTACCTGGGGAATGGGTTTTTCTGCAGGGTAGAGGGTCAGTTTTTTACATCATGGTTGGCAAAGACCTGGACGATGTGGTAGAGGGCTCTGTGTACTAGTGGGAGGCTTCTGGAGGTTGTGGCCTGACTTGGACAGTGTTCTCCCACCCCTCCATTCCCACCATCATACTGGCACCTGCCCACCCCACACCTGGGACCTGTCTTCCGCACTGGTTCTGACATTAGCACACACCCAGATATGTTGCATTAGCTGAGCTCAATTTACAAAAAGAGTGCATTCTGCGTGAGGTGGTGGGTCTGTCAGGACATCAAAGGCACATGCCCCATATTCTTGCCATATTACTTGTAACGTAGTATATCACAGTGTAATTTGGATGTGCATTTTCCTAACGGTTAATGGTGTTGAACATCTTTTCACATGCTTAATTCTTTGGAGAAATGTGTATTCAGATGTTTGAATCACTTTTTAAAAATGGGCTATTTATCATTTTTATCATTGAGTTGTGTTATTTACATATCAGGGATAGAAGACTCTTATTAGATATGTGATTTACAGGTGTTTTATTGCTTCTGTGTGTTGTCTTTTCACTTTCCTGATGGTGATGTTTGAAGCACAAAAGTTTTAATTTTGATTAGTCCAATTCATATATATTTTCTTTTGTCTTTTGTGATTTGGGTATCATATCTAGGAAAACATTGTCTCCAATACAATCACAAAGATTTACTCCTATGTTTTATTCTGAGATTTTTATAGCTTTAGCTCTCAATTTTTTAAGTTGATTTTTTATGTCTGCTGTGATGTAGAAATCCAAATTCATTCAGTTGCATGTAGATGCTCAGTTGTCAAAGTATATCATTTGTTGAAATGATTTTTTTCTATTAAGTTATCTTGGCATCTTATTAACAATTAATTCATCATAACTTCAAAAGTTTTTATTTCTGGACTTTCAATTCTAGTTCATTGATTTATATGCACATTCTGTGCTGTGCCACACCATCTTGGTTACTGCAGCTTTATTGTGTATCTTGAAATTGAGAAGTGTTAATCCACCATCGTTGTTGTTTATTTTTCAAGATTGCTTTGGCTGTTCTGGATCCTTTTAAATGCCACACAAATTATAGAATTAGCTTATCTATTTTAGAAAAAAAAAAAAGCAAGTTGGGATTTTGATAGGCATGAGTTGAAGCTGTAGATTGATCTGGGGAGGATTGCTGTCTTAGCAATGTTGTCTTCTGATTCATGAACATGGAATATATGTCAACTTATTTAAATTTTTTTCTAATTTATTTCAACAATGTTGTGTAGTTTTCAGTGCACGCTTTTTGTTAAATTTACTCCTAAATATTTTATTCTTTTTGATGTTATTGCAAATGAAGTTTTCTTAATTCATTTTGAGATTGTTCATTGCTAGAGTATAGAAAGCCACTTGATTTTTGTGTATTCATTTTGTATTCTGCAAACTTGCTGAACTTGTTTATTTTTTCTAAAGGTTTGTGTGTGTGTGTGTGTTCCCTATATGCAAGATCATGTCATGTGCCAACAGAGATAATTCTACTTCTTCTATGTGGAGACCTTTTCTTTTTTTTTTTTTTTTCAAATGTCACTATTTTCTTCTCTCTCTCTCTATATATATATCTCTATATATCTATATTCATTTATTATAAAGATGTGGGGTACAATTCAGGGTTAGGTATACAAACGTTGATTATGCAGGTACCCTTGTTGATGAGGTGTGCTCCTCCCTCCCCTAGCAGTTTCCCTCCCACCCCTGCCAATCCCACCCCCCTCCCTTGACAGATTCCCACTACTGCCAATCCCTTTCTTACAGTAGTATAATTGTTCAAGGTCCGTTTATGTGTGAGAACATATGGTACTCTGCTCTTTGTTTCTGTGATAGATCACTGAGTATGATTGACTCTAAATCCATCCAAGTTGCTGCGAAGTCCATATGTTTGTCTTTCTTTATGGCTGCATAATATTCCATTTTGTATATGTACCACTTTTTAAAAAATCTAGCTTCGATGGGCAGCATGGTTGGTTCCATGTTTTTGCTATTGTGAATAGAGCTACAACAAACATATGTGTGCAGGTATCTTTTTCGTAGAACCTTTTATTTCTTTTTCTTGCATAATCATCCAGGCTAGAACCTCAGTATATTGATAATTCAAGAGATAAACACCCAATCTTTCACTATTAAGTAAAATGCTAGCCAGGGTTTTTCATAGATGCCCTTTATCAAGTTGAGAGAGTTCCCTTTTATTTCTTTTTTAAAAGCACTTTTTTTTAATCATGAAAGGAGATTGACTCTATACAAAAATTTTCTATATCAATTGAGATACCATGCAATTTTCTCCTATACTTTATATTAATATGTGCTATTACTTTGATTTTCTTTTATAAGCTCTTACGATTATTTTAGATTTTTAAAAACTTAATTGACAAAAAATATATTTCAAGGTATAAAATGTGATTATTTGACAAATGTATACATTGTGTATTGACTGTCACAGTCAAATTAACCTACTCATCACCATCTATATATCATTTTTATTTGTGCATGTGTGTGTGGACATTTAATATCTGCTTTCCTATCAAATTTTAAGTAATACAGTATTATGTAAACTATAGTCACCCTGCTGTACATCAGATCCCCAGAACTTATTCACCTTATAACTGAAAGACTATGCCCTTTGTCTAATATTTTCTCCACAGACACCCATACAGGCACACCACATTTTCCTTATCCATTCATTCACTGATGGACATTTAGGTTATTTCAATATCTTGGATATTGTGAATAATGCTGCAATAAACATGGGAATGCAGGTTATCTTTTTGATATACTGATTTCATTTATTTGGTTATATACTCAGAAGTAGAATTGCTGAACTGTATAGTAGTTTTATTTTTAATATTTTGAGAAATGCCCATACTGTTTTCCACTTTGGCTGTTGCAATTTACATTCCCACCAGCAGTGTACAGGGTGCCCTTTTCTCCACACTTTCAGCAACATCTACTGTCTGTTTTCTTTTTGATAACAACCGTCCTAACAGGTAATTTGATTTTGCATTTGCATTTCCCTGACAATTAGGGATGTTGAGCACCTGTCATATACCTGTTGGCCATCTGTAAGTCTTCTTTGAAAGTTTATTCGGTCCTGTGCCTATTTGAAAATCAGGTTATTTACAGTTTTGCTATTGAGTTTTGTGAATTCCTTGTATATTTTGGATATTAACCCCTTATCAAATATAAAGTTTACAAATACTTCCTTTCACGCATAGGTGACTTTTCATCGTGTTACCTGTTTCCTTCACTGTGCAGAAGTGTTTTAGTTTAACGTAGTTTAGCTTGTTTATTTTTGCAAAAGTCTTGGTGTGATATCCAAAAATCATTGCCAAGATTGATGTCAAGGAACTTTCCCCCATGCTTTCTTCTAGAAGTTTTATATTTTCAGAACTTACATTTAAGTTTTAACTCAAGTTAATTTTTAAAAAATATTAACTTGGGTACAATGATCACCTGAATTGTACCCCATATCTTTAAAATAAAAAAATAAAATATTAACTTGGGCCCAATTTTGTATATTAACAAGAGTCTAATTTGATTCTTCTGCATGTGGATATAGTTTTCCCAACACCACATATGGAAGAGACTATCCTTTCTCCATTATGCATTCTTGGCACCCTTGTCAAATATTAGTTAACCATATAAGCGTGGGTTTATTTCTGGGCTCTTTATTCTGTTCCATTGGTCTATGTTTCTGTTTTTACACCAGTACCATACTGTTTGATTACAATAGATTTGTAATATAGTTTGAAATCGGGGAGTGTGATGCCTCCAGCTTCACAATCTGACAGTGCATTGTAATAATTTTTGCTTTACTTAATTTTACATCTTTCAAAGAAGTTGAGCAAAGGAGAACATGCATGTGTTTATAGAGTTTGCTATATTAATATTCTTATTTCTTGCTTTTCTTCTTTCTTTTGTAGATTCAAGGTGTCATCAGATGTCACTTCTGTACTCCAATACAGCTTAGCTCCCACTTT